TTAATTATTTAATTAAATTCATCTATTTAATATTAATATTAAAATTAAAATTAATTTTTATATTTATAATAAAAAATAATTTTAACTTATAAACTAAAAATATAAATTAAAATAATATTTTATAAAATTATTAAAAAATGAAGTACAGTACGTTGTGCCTGCAGTGTAAATTATAAAATAATATTTTTTATACAATAATATATTACTATTTCTGCAATATCTCAAGAACAGGTAGACTACTAGGCTTCATCGAGGTGGTTTTTCAACTCAATTAATTTTAATTAGTGTTTTACTGAGAAAATATAGAATTGGCATTCTAAGAAAATCCATATTTAGTAACTAAATTGGTTTTTTTTTTTACATATAATCATCATTATCATCAAACAACAAAATTCACAAAAAAAAAATTTTATCTTTTTTCTCTTGGGTTTGTTCGAACCCAAGATAACGCCTAGGTTCCAAGGAACCCAATAGGCATTAGGTTCCAAGGGAAAAAGAAAAGGAAAGAGAAGAAAAAAAAAAGGAATGAATTTTTTAAGTTTTTTTGACATATTATTTTTTTTTTTCATGTCATTACTTTTTGTGGTGTTGTCATCTTTTTTTTAGGTGTGTATATGACGTGTCACACTATTTTAACATGTCATTGTGGTTCGTTAGTTAATGAAACACGTCACTGGTTTTTCCATGTCATCACTTTTTGTGGTGTTGTCATTTTTTTTAGGTGTGTATTTGACGTATCACACTATTTTAACATGTCATTGTGATCCATTAGTTAACGGGACACGTCACTAGTTTTTTAACGGAAGGATCAAATTAGGGTAAAAATGAAAAACGGTAGGGATCAAATCAGGGATTTATTGAGTTGAGAGATCAAATCGAGAGTCCATATAATAGTTGAGGGCCCAAATGGGAGTTTAACCTTTTTAATTTTATTTTTCTTTTTGAATAGGTACCCATCAAGTAGCTTTTTTTTCTTTCTTTCTTTTTGAATAGGTACAAATTTGGGGATAGAGGATTCAACCGAGGACTAAGGACTTTTCTAGCTTGAATTTCAAATTTTTAGAACTCGTTTTGTAATTATTAGAAATATTATAATTATAATATTATATAATATTATAAATTTATAATATAATACACTTTAATATAATTAATTTTTTATTTAAAAATTTATTTATAATATTATATAT